CATATATATCATTGCTGCAGGCTAGGAGATCCTTGATAGCAGGGGAATTTGGATATGTCATGTTGGGAGGTTTGGTGAGTGGGTCAGAGGAGGATATCACCGGCATTCCTGTGGTGAGGGAATTCCTCGAGGTATTTCCTGAGTTTCCGCCGCAGAGGGAGATAGAGTTCTCCATTGACTTATTGCCTGGTGTGGGGCCCGTTTCATTGGCTCCATACCGGATGTCGCCACCAGAGTTGGCAGATCTGAAGAAACACATTGAGGACCTTTTGGGGAAAGGCTTCATTCGACCGAGTGTGTCTCCCTAGGGAGCACCGGTCATCTTCGTGAAGAAGAAAGATGGGACTATGCGATTATGCACCGATTACAGGTAGCTGAACAAGGTGACAATCAAGAACAAATATCCCCTTCCGTGTATTGATGATCTATTAGATCAACTGAAGGGTGCTTGTGTGTATTCGAAGATAGAACTCCGGTCCGGATACCATCAGATTCGGATGAAGCCGGAGGATGTCCCGAAGACTGCATTTCGTTCGAGATACGGTCATTATGAGTATTTGGTGATTCTTTTTGGACTCACAAATGCACCCGCAGTGTTCATGGATTACATGAACAGGATTTTCCAGCCGTACCTGGACCAGTTTGTGATCTTCTTCATTGACGACATATTGATTTACTCCAAGCCGGAGGAAGAGCATGCTGAGCACTTGAAGATTGTGTTGCAAGTGCTGAAGGAGAAAAGGCTTTATGATAAGCCTTCCAAATGTGAGTTTTGGCTCAAGTCCGAGAAGTTTCTTGGGCATGTCATTTCTGCAGAAGGAGTTGCAGTGGATCCGAACAAGATTGAGGCCGTTCTTGATTGGGAGAGGCCCAAGATGCTAACTGAAGTGAGGAGTTTTCTGGGTTTGGCAGGTTACTACCGGAGGTTCATCCAGGGATTCTGTTGGGATATTCAAGTGTGATGAGTCCCACATTGGTTGGTAATGAGCTAAGTAAAGAGTATATAAGTGGATGGACCCATGAACCCAATGCCTTAAGGTTTTGGGTTGAGACATGATGTCGGATCCACTTGCTACGGTTGATGTAGCCTTAGCTCATTGGTGGTGGTCCCCCGTCACGGGCTTCCCCCTGGACCCGCTTGACATTGGAGTTTGAGGGAACGAATTTCCCAACAGTGGTATCAGAGCCTGGTTCGTTGCTGCAAACGAATGGGGTTAGAAATCTGATATCGGATTTTCAAAAAACTGTTTTTGAAATCTTCAATTTTCGAACAAGATTCTTAAAAATTTATTCTTTATGAAAGAACTAATTTTTTGTGATTATGTGAAAGAGACATCATTTTGTGGAGACAAAGTGGCGGCCAAGAAAGTCTTGGGGCTAAGGATGGTTTTTAAATCTAGTTGGACTAGAATTGTCAAAAACCATTATTGTGATGACACCATCATAGCCGCGGCCTACATGGTGGGCAGCCGCATCACAATTTTGATTTTATGAATCTTGATCGTGTTTTGAAGATGAATTCGATAATGCTCTGCAATTGAATATTGTATTGTATGCTTCTAACCTTCTTGTAGGTGTTAGTATTTGGGTGTCCTAGAGACAATCTTATGATTAAATAAGGACATAGATGTAGACCTTTTTAATATTGTCGCAAATAAATAAAAGCACTCTTTATCTTGTTTCATAATTATGTCTCGATATTAATGTTAATATATTATGAATAACTTGATAAACCCCGTGGAATAAAATAGGTACCTCTTGAGTATCTGTGATGAGATCACAATCATGAGGATTCAAGAATACCAGATGTTTATTCCTAATTTTATGTTCATAGTCTAGAGATACTGAGAATGGGGTCAGTAATCTCGAGTAAGACTAGCACGACTTATCTAAATGTATATGGATACAAGGTATAGACCTCATGTGCTACAGATATGGAGATGTCTTAGCTAAAGTCGTGGGTGGACCTATAAGGGTATAGCTCGCACTGAAGGGACCCTCAAAGAGACTCTATGAGGAAATCTCACGGATAATATCATTAGAGTAATCTCTATATATTTGGGTATGTCTTTCCTCAGACCAGAAGTTATCACTTTGACTGTGTTCTAGAAGGCATGCCTTGATTGTATACCTCGTCTTCCTGAAACATGGAGACTCATAGGTATGCTCTTGGGCTTGTCCTGATAGGGCACATGGCTAGGGTAATAAGCTGAAGGAATTCGTCAAATCTCTGTGAAAGATTAGGTTATCCTTAAACCGGAGAAATCGGGATGACATTTACAGTGACTCGGGAATCTATGCATAGTAAAAGAGATCATAAGATGATATGCCTTTAGAGTCAGTAAATTGAAGACTCCCTATTTCATAAAAAGCTAACCCTAAACCGCAAGGGTTGATGCGTTTCCTTACCCTAGGTTTTATGGGAAGGTAATCGAGACGAAGGGACAAACATACGGCAACCAAATATGTTTAATAGGATGATCAAATCATTAATCTAACTAGTTCTGGGGCAACAAAGCATTGCTAGTGCTCTGTGTTGTCATTAGATGGGTTGTGGGCTTATTGGGTCCAAGCCCATTTATGTCAGTGGCTAAGTTGGACCTAATGGGTCACACACAAACACCTAATTGTCTAGATGCTCTAGCATTAAAGGTATTGGGCCTAATAATGGTTATTAGCCCAAGAAGTTGTTTGGAACTCCAGCTAAAAGGGTGGAGGGCGCATGGATCAATGTAATGGGCTTGGATAGTCCAAGACATTACTAATTAATTTAATTAGTTAAATTAATTATCAAACATTTAAATTTTGAATTTTGGAAATCGAAATTTGAAATTTGAAATTTGAAATTTTGAAATTTGAATTTGAATTTCGAAATTCGAATTTTGAATTTGAAATTTGAATTTTGAATTTTGAAATTTGGATTTTGAATTCGAATTTTGAAATTTGAAATTTGAAATTTGAATTTGAATTGCCTATGAAAGGTTGTTTCATAACAAAATGATAAGATGAGATCTTGTTGGAACAAATCACTAGTATCATGAGAGAATCTTTTGGACAAGATCCAAGTAGATTTTGGACATAATCCAAGGCTATATATGGCGCTGATTTGGGCTGTTGGTGAGCAAGATTTGCTCATCAAAATCAGCTTCAGAAGATTCAGTCAGTTGGGAGAAAATCTGAGTGAGTTGATTCAAATTTGAATGCAACTACTCAGATGTATCTGGTCACCTTTTTGGGCTATATGGGGCGCACCATATAGCTGATCTTATGAAGATTTCTGATCAGAATTTTGAATAGGTTTTGAACCAATTCTCAAGAGAATATTCCAGGAGCCTGTTAGCAATTTTTGAAATTAAACAGCTCCACTTCTCTCTCTCCAATTTGGCGCCTAATGATCAGATTTTTGGGAGAAAAATCTGATTGGTATTTTATTTTTAAATACTCTCCTCTTATGCGCCTAAGTGATTAGTTGTTCCTCCAAGGGTTTTTTCTGAAAAGCCTAGCCTATTCTCTCTTCTCTCCTGCGCCACTTGTGAAGCTTTCACATTGAGAGCTTCACTCTTTCAAACACTTTCACCTAGCCTCCATCTTCATACATAGAGCGCCTAGCAAGCCTCTTTGTGGTGATCATCCGGTGGCTTCACAAGAAGGAGTTCTTGCCCCTAGACGAGTGGGTGGTGTGGATCAACGTTAGAGGGTCTGAACCCTTCAGACCTGCCTTGATCATCTGGTGATTTCACGAACAAGGTAACATCATGCTTTCCTAAAGCATGATCTTGATGTGCATGTATATTCCGCAAAGAAAAATTTTGTTTTTCCCTCTTGCATGCATCGGCCTTCAAGGCCATTTCGAACTTTCAGTAGGTACTTAGATAAATGGATGGTCATGGTGCTTTGAATGTTTGATTTTATATTTTTTAATTCTTTTGGTTAAATGGGATTGTTCTGTCCCGATTTAAAATTTTGCATTTTTAAATTTTATATAATCTTGGATGTAAATTTTAAATCGAAAAGGGATGTAAGTCCATGGAGCACAAAGATATTTCGGCCAAAGAAGATGATCCGAGGATTGAAGATACTTTGGATTGAAAAACGGAAGGCACCATGATCATCCACTTACGTTTAAATTTCTAATTTATGATTTTTGAAATTATGCATGCGTGGATGTATATTTAGAAATTTGAATTTTCAAAATAACTTAAAATTTAAATTTTAAATTTCAAAGGTTTAAAATTGTTATTCGGAATTATGAATTCCGTTTATTTTGGAAATTAAAATTTGAAATTTGAAATTTGAAATTTTGAATTTTTGAATTTACGACTAGTATGCATGCTTATAGTAAACGCGATCATTCCTCGACTTGTATGCATGTTTAAACAAGCCGTTTAAAAGGAAGAACTATATGATAGTTATTATAATATGCATGGAAGATAAAGAAAAGGAATAACTAATGATGAGACTAAAATGAACCCTCAAATAAAATTATCTAGCATTTTATGATTGCCTCCCATCATCGATGATATTCAAATCCCTTCTACATAATAGTGTTCTCTAGCTCAGCTAAGACCTATCATTTAGTCGGGTAAGGGTGCCATTTGAAGTGTATGACACTTAGGATGATGGTTTATGCTAAACTAGATACATAAATTGCAGGCTCAGCCGGGTCTATGCATCTAGGGCAATGGGCCAGGTTGTTACAAAGTGATGTAACACTAAGTGACAAGGAGTTGTCAACCTGATGATCTAAGAGAAGATATGGAGATATTGTTGATAAGATCAACCCACTAGATAAGTTAGTTTTGCAGGCTCAGCCGGAGACTAATGAACCTAGTCGTTCTCTTAGCCTACTAAGGTTGTCCTTGTGAAGGATAACCCTAAATCAATCACCGAGGGTCATTGATTTTAGATAAAATAGTGGGAGGGCCATATACGTTTAAAAGTCTCCGTATTTGGTTATTATCATGAAATTCTTATGTAATTTTATCTTTATAAATTGAGTTATGGCCAGAAATTTGAATTTACGCTCTATTCTGGATACTAACAAGTTAACTAGACTAAACTTCACGGATTGGTATAGGAATGTAAAAATAGTTTTACGTTCTGAAAAGATAGCATATGTTCTGGATTCTCCTGTTCCTGTTGCCCCTGCTGAAGGGAAAAATGGGTATGACCAGTATGACTGGGAAGCTCATAGACAACATTTGGCAGACAATGAGCAGGAAATATGTATATTGCTTGCGTCTATGTCTGCGGAACTTCAGCGTCAGCATGAGCATATGGATGCTCCCTCCATAATCTTGCATCTGCAAGAGCTTTATGATAAGCAAGGGAGGGCTGAGCGTTTTGAAACCTCCAAGGAGCTGTTTGTCTGTAAGCTAGCTGAGGGTATGGCGGTTGGACCGCACATCCTCAAGATGATTGGGCTGATAGAGAAGCTTGCTTCTCTGGGTTTTATCATGGACCAAGAGTTAAGTGTTGACTTAGTCTTGCAGTCCTTGCCACCATCATTTAATGGCTTTGTGGTCAACTATCATATGAACAAGGTGGAGACAACACTCCCAGAGTTGTTGAATCTCTTGACCACTGTTGAGGGTGCTGTTAAAAGGAACATGACCCAAGCTCTTCTGATTGGCGGGCCTAAAAAGACCAAGGGTAAGGGCAAGTCTGTAGAATCAAACAAGCTCAAGCCCAGAGGTCAGCCCAAGAAGAAGAAGGGAAAGGAAAGGAGAAATCCAAGGACAATGCTAAAACTGTATGCTTCCATTGTCAGAAGGAAGGACATTGGAAGAGGAACTGCCCATCATTCCTTGTGAGCCTAGATTAGGTAATCGATCCTATCTTTGGCATTGTAGATTGGGAAACATTAATGAGATAAGACTGTCTAGACTCCATCATGATGGTTATCTGGATTCCATGGATTATGAATCCTATGGGCCTGTGAGTCTTGTTTGGCTGGTAAAATGACGAAGACCAAGGTCTAGAAACTTGCGAGTCATAGAGCCAATGAGTTACTAGAACTCATTCATTCTGATGTTTGTGGGCTCTTATCTACTCAGGCTAGAGGAAGATACTCCTACTTCATTACCTTTACTGATGATAAGTCCAGATACAGATATGTGTATCTTATGAGACACAAATCTGAGGCCTTTGAAAAGTTCAAAGAGTTTAGGAATGAAGTGGAGAAACAACTTGGCAAGATGATTAAGACACTTCGATCTGATTGGGGTGGCGAATATCTGAGTCAAGAGTTTCAGGATTATCTAAGAGAGAATGGAATTCTTTCACAGTTGACGGCTCATTACACGCCACATCAGAATGGTGTGTCAGAGAGGAGGAACCGAACCTTGTTAGACATGGTACGGTCTATGATGAGTGGTACGAAGCTCCCAAAATCATTTTGGGGATTCGCTCTGCATATGGCATTAAACCTTCTTAATAGGGTACCGTCGAAATCTGTTCTGACTACTCCATATCAGATATGGAGGGGCCAGAAACCCAACTTGAGTTATCTCAAGTTATGGGGTTGTCCAGCTTATGTCAAGACCCTAGCACTTGAAAAAGTTAGGAGCTAGAAGCACCTTGTGCTACTTTGTAGGATATCCCAAAGAAACTAAGGGATACTACTTTTACTACCCTGAGGACCAAAGAGTTATTGTGTCCAAGAATGCTACTTTTCTTGAGGAAGACCATATTTCTCAAGAAGATAGTGGGAGTAAGGTAGAACTTGAAGAAATTCAAGACCTACAAGAACAGATAAGGGAACCCGAGTCTGTTAATCAGGCGATGCCTCAACTGGAGGCAATAGACACCCAGCCCCGTAGGAGCACTAGGTTTAGTCATCCACCTGAGAGGTACGGTTTTTTGATTGAGAATCAGCAGACCGTTGAGGATGACGAGCCTGCTTCCTAAAATGAGGCAGTCAAGGATGTTGACTCCTCAAAATGGCAAGAAGCCATGGAATCCGAAATAGATTCGATGCATCAGAACAAGATATGGACCTTGATTCCACCACCTGAGGGAATAGTTCCTATTGGGTGTAAGTGGGTTTTCAAGAGAAAGATTGATGCTGATGGCAACATTGAAACCTATAAAGCTAAGTTGGTTGCGAAGGGTTACCATCAAAGGCAAGGAAATGACTTTGAGGAAACCTTCTCATCTGTTGCCATGATCAAATCTATTAGGATCATGCTAGCAATAGCCGCATATTATGATTATGAAATTTTGCAAATGGATGTCAAAACTACCTTCTTGAATGGGTTCTTGAAGGAGGAAGTATATATGACACAACCTGAAGGTTTTGAATCCAAGAGTCAAGAGCATATGGTATGCAAATTTCAAAGGTCAATATATGGGTTTAAGCAAGCTTCCAGGAGCTGGAATCTTCGTTTTGATGAAGTCGTTAAGGATAACGGTTTTATCAAGAATGAGGATGAACCTTGTGTCTACAAGAAGGTTAGTGGAAATACTGTTGTTTTCCTTGTGCTATATGTAGATGACATATTGCTCATTGGAAATGACATTCCCATGTTACAGTCCACAAAGGTTTGGTTGTCCGAGAACTTCACCATGAAGGATATGGGAGAGGCAGCCTATATACTAGGTATTAAGATCTATAGAGATAGATCCAAAAGGTTGCTGGGATTGTCCCAATCCACGTACATAGACAAGATGCTAAAGAGGTTTAGCATGGATGGGTTGAAAAGGGGTTTTCTTCCTGTCGGTCATGGCATTCATCTCTCTAAGACTATGTGTCCTAAGACACCTGTCGAAAGGGATCGCATGGAGAGGATTCCATATGCATCAGCAATTGGATCCATCATGTATGCCATGCTATGTACAAGACCAGACGTCTCTTATGCTTTGAGCATTACGAGCCAATACCAGTCTGACCCTGGAGAGAGTCACTGGACGGCCGTGAAGACAATCCTTAAGTACTTGAGAAGGACTAAGGATTTGTTTCTGGTTTATGGTGGCAGTAAAGAGCTGATAGTGAAGGGGTTCACTGATGCAAGCTTCCAGAGTGATAAAGACGACTGTAAATCTCAGTCGGGCTTTATATACACATTTAATGGTGGAGCTATTTCTTGGAAGAGTTCCAAGCAAGAGACCATGGCAGACTATACTTCTGAGGCAGAATACTTAGCGGCTTCAGAAGCGGCTAAAGAGGCAGTTTGGATCAAGAAGTTCGTTGCAGAACTTTGGAGTGGTTCCGAGCATTGTTGATCCAATACCTTTGTATTGTGACAACACTGGCGCTATAGCCCAGGGCAAGGAACCTCGGTCTCATCAAAGGTCCAAGCATGTGCTCCGAAAGTATCACCTCATCCGAGAGATTTTTGAAAGACTGGAGATAAACATGGACTACGTCCCCACTGATGATAATTTGGCCGATTCTCTGATGAAGGGTCTCTCTAAGAGAAAACATGATAATCATTATGAGTCTTTAGGTTTGACACGTCGACCTGATTGGCTCTAGGCCAAGTGGGAGATTGTTAGTATATAGGTGTCCTAGAGACAATCTGTTTTATCAGATGAACACCTTTTTCTATTTAGTATTTCATGATTAATAAATATGAGCAAACTTTTTCTTTATCATATTTATGTCTCACCAATATTTTATTGTTAATATGTGTTTAAAGATAAAGACCTTAGGAATAGAACAGGTGTTCACTCGGGGATCTATGATAGGGATCATGATCATGAGGACTCGAGGACACTGAATGTCAATTACCTAAAATATGTTCCTGGTCTTGAATCACCAAGAAAGGGTATTGGTGATTTTAATAAGACTAGTATGACATCATCTACTTGTATGGAGATACAAGGTAGGGACCTCATGGAATGCAGGCATGGTGATGCCTTAGCTGATGTCGTGGGTGGATCTGTTGGAGAACAGATAGCACTGAACTTACCCGCTTAGAGACTCCACAAGGATTCATTATAGAGAGTATCATTGGATTTGTAAAGTCTCTGAACGTTTGGTAGTGCGGATCGTCCTAGACTTAAGGATGTCATCGAATACTATGTCCTAGAGTTATACTTTGACTGTACAACTCTATCCGCCTGAAAATGGGGAGAACAGTGTACTCTTGGGTATAACTCGAATACATAATTATAGATGGACATGCCGAAAGGACTCACAATCCCCTATAAGGGATTAGTCGTTCATAAAGACCGGTAGGGCTGAGATGACTTCTAGTTGACTCGGGAATCTATGCATAGTAAGAGATCATGAAGATTCATGATCTGTCTTAGAGTCAATAGAAGAAGATTCCTAGTTCCTGTGAAATATTATATTTAGTCAATAAAGAGAAATGATACTCTATCCTTGCTCTCGACTAAATGTGAATGACGATGTGAGGGATAATGCTGGCACGGTATCCAAATCAGAAAGGTATATCACTTGATCAACTCAATTAGTTCTGAGGCTACAGAGCATTGCTAGTGTATCATGTAGTCATTAAATGGATTGAGCCTTTTAAAGGAGTTTAAATGGTTCAAGTTTATTTATGTCAGTAACTAATTGGGCCTAATGGGTCACACACAAAGGCTATTCCTTATTACAAGTTATAGCAAGTTTGGACCAATAGTGAGTTATTGGGTTGGAGTAGGTACTCAAAGCCCACTTGAACCATGCGCCCTTTTGGGGCATTAGTGGTGAAAGAGTTTTTTCCACTAATGGGCCCAAATATGATGATAGGCCAAAGAGGCCTTGGGGCATGAATCCTAGTAAGTCAAAGAGTTGACTTGACCAAAATAAGGTTTGGGCAAATTTGAAATTTGAATTTTAAAATTTGAATTTTTGAAATTTGAAATTTGAAATTTGAAATTTGAATTTGAATTTGAATTTGAAATTTGAAATTTGAATTTCGAATTTGAATTACGAACTTGGATAAGATTGAATTTATATTTGAGTTTAAATTTCAAATTGGAATTTGAAATTTGAATTTGAATTTTAAATTCTATTAGGTTAGGTTGTTGAGAATAATTTAAAATTATTTAAAGGAATAATGCAATAGAGATTGGATGAATATTCTCTCAACTACTCTTTCATTTGAATTCGGAATTTAAATGAATACCGTTGCAACAAAATTTCTGAGGAAAGGAAAGGTATTAAAGGGGGGCCTAATCAAGGAGAGAATCAAGGAAAGTCTTTCTCATCACTTTAACTTGTGCGCCTAATCATAGGAGGGGCTTATGTGGTTGATTAGTTTTTATAAAAACCTGATGCATCATCTCTCCTATGAGTGTGTAGAATTCGAAAAAGAAAAAGCTCCAACCTTGGCCGCTGCTGAAGAATGATGTCCATGAGTTTGTCCGGACTTGCCCAATCTGTCAAGTCACAAAATATCAACCATTGAGTCCAGCAGGGTTGCTCTAACCGCTTGTAACACCGAAGGCAGTGTGGGAAGATGTATCTATGGATTTCATCATTGGGCTTCCTAATTTCGAGGGAAAAACGGCGATTATGGTGGTGGTAGACCGCCTATCAAAGTATGCTCATTTTTCTGCCTTGCCAAGAAATATTACAGTAACAAAGGTCGCTTCTCTATTCATCTCAGATATTTGCCGTTATCATGGTGTCCCTCATTCCATTGTCTCAGATCGTGACAAAATTTTTATTGGCAAATTTTGGACTGAATTATCACGCTTAAGTAACACTCAGCTTCATTTTAGCACGATAAATCATCCTGAAAGTGATGGGAAGACAAAGGTTACAAATAGAGGCTTGGAGCAATATCTCAGATACTATACAATGGAGAATCCTAAGAGGTGGGTTCAGTTCTTACCATGGGCAGAATTTTCGTATAATTCTTCTTTTCATTCAGCAATTGGTTTGTCCCCTTTTCAAGTTCTATATGGGCATCTTCCTCCTCCCCTACAACCTTACCAAGGGGAATCTTCCCCGATCGAAGCTGTGGATGCTCTGTTGACCAAAAGAGATCAGATAGTACGACACATTTGTGAAACACTGCACCACACAAAGCAACGTATGAAACACTCGGCTGATAAACATAGGAGGGATGTTTAGTTCAGTGTTGGAGAGGAAGTGTTGGAGAAATTGCAACCTTACCGTCAACAGTCTCTGCACAATCAAAGCTTTTCCAAGCTGCGCTGGCGATACTATGGCCCTTTCCGATTTGTAAGCGCGTCGGCGTGGTTGCTTACCGGTTAGAGTTACCAGCTCATTCTCGCATACATCCGGTGTTTCATGTCTCTCTACTGAAACCATTTCATAAAAATCCAATTTTTCACCCATGCCCTTTACCTCTGACAGATTGGGATAACCACCCAGTCGTTTCTCTAGTGGTTTTACTCAGATCGCGAACCGTTGCTATGGGGAAGGATTTTGACATATAGGTCTTGGTCCAATGGAATGGGTTGCCTTTGGACGATGCGTCGTGGATTTTCTACTTGAAATTCCACCAAGCTTTCTGTGACTTCGATCTTGAGGGCAAGATCAATACTTGAAGGGAAAGGGGAAATGATATGAACCCAGGACAGGTGATGGAAGATGAGAGCAATGAAGCAGAGATGAAAGAAGATGGAATGGAGGAAGTGTAGACTGTAATACCAAGAAGAGGAAGCAGAGTCAAGATAAGATCAAGCAAATTGAAAGATTACCTGATACCCACACGTGGGTAGGAGAGGATGTGGCCTTTGGACCTGAGATGGGCCAAATGAATTACGTGGCCCATTTTTAGATTCTTGCATTTTTCCATTTGGTTATTAAGGGGATGAAGACTCTTTTAGGATCGGTTATGAACTTGTATTAACAAACTTCTTCTCTCTCTTAAAACTTCTGGAGTTGACGGCATCCTCGAATTGCCACCGGTATTACTGCCGGAGAATTGTCCTTTATTTCCAGTGAATTAACATACAGAAATCATAGAAACTTGTAGTGTCTATCACATTACAATCTATCAACTATTTTCAACTTGCAAGATTTTTTCCTAGGATAAAAGTGAAGCCTTTAGCAATACGGTCCACATATATTTTGCTTGAACCTAGGCTTTCACCAACCAAACTCAAGAAAAGCAAGGGAGCTTAGTGATTTACCTTGTTGGACTCCCTTCAAAGGCCGATGACTATCAAGCTCCATTTCCTTCCATGATTTAAGCCTCCATTGATTCTCCACTGTCATGATGTCTCGTTCAAATGTTAAGTTCCCTAATTTTCTAAATTACTTTCTTGTTGAACAATAGAGAGAAGATTTGCAAATGAAGGTGAGGAAGGAGTAAGGACTCACACACATGCAAAGGAAATGAGGTTGTTTACGTTGAAGGGGAAGATCGTGTGAAGGAATAGAGGGGAAAAGGGTAATGAGAAGACCGAATAGAGAGGAGGGTGGTGATTTTGGTGATATAAAGGGAGAAGGATAATGTATTAGAAAAATGATTCTGGTCAGTTAAATAATGAGCCTTTGACCCCTAGAATAGAAATAGACTTCAGCCCTTTACTTGGTTTTTCGGGTTTCTAAAATTAATTATTTCAATCCTGGTTATCAAATTTCTAATTCTGCAATTTAGATTTCGGTTATCATTTATCTCTATAATGAGTTACCATATGAAAAATGAAAGAAAATGAATATATTGATTTAGTTTTTCCACTAGAGGAGGTTACAGTATATACACATAGCTAATAAAACGAATAAAGAAGCTAATTAATTAGATGAATTCATCCTAATCAATTAAGAAGATCCTAATTGATTCTCAAGAATAAAAACTTATGTGTTTCCTAAAATACAACGATATTTGAAAATATTCTACAATACACATATAGTAGCAATCATAATGACCTTTCAACAAAAATCTTAACTCTTAAATTACATCAATGTCATTGATGTCTTATGCTTATTTGTATAATTCAACCACATAACAAACCAACTTATTATTATTAATCTGTTTACTATTTCCTTAACATTTTTATGTTGTTCAATTGTACAATACTTAAATCATCAAGTTTCTCTTTTGCGGGGAGAGTCACTCTGGCTAAATCAGTGATTGGTGCTATTCCCTCTTTTCATATGCAGAATGGTCTTCTTCCCACTTCTGTGTGTGATGAGATTGAACAGCTTCAACGGAACTTCATTTGGGGTATTAATAAAGCTCATTTAGTGGCTTGGGACACAATGTATAAGCCGAAGGAAATGGGAGGTCTTGGTATTATCAGATTGCGTACTCAAAATGAGGCTTATATTCATAAGTTGGCTTGGAAAATCTTAACTGACAAGGAGGAACTTTGGGTTAAGATTTTGAGAGCCAAATATGGCAGAGGTAAAGATTTGAGGCGTGAGATAAGCTCTAAGCCTTATGATTCTAAACTTTGGCGGGACCTTTCTAAATGTTGGAACAGTTTTTTAGCCGGTCTTCGATGGGAGGTGGGTGATGGAGAGACTATTAAATTCTGGGCGGATAATTGGTTGAATCTGGATGATAATCTTTGTAATTTAGCTCCTAATCACATTCCTGATCTGGAATTGCATAGAACCATTGCTGAGATCTTTCAGCATGGTACCTGGGATGTTCGATATTTGAAGCAATTCTTAAATGATGAGCTAATCTCTAAGGTGTTTTGCGTTCCTGTTGCTTTGGAAGATAATACTGAGGATAAGTTAGTTTGGTGTCAGAATCATGTGTCCTCTTCCTTAGTTAAGGTTGCCTACTTGAACTTGATGAATTTTCAACATGCTCAAAGGAATGTTCCCTGGAAGAAGATTTGGGACTGGAAGGGTCCAGAAAGAATCAAGACTATGATGTGGCTGGCTTTTCTTAATAAGCTTCCAGTTAGGAGTCGTACATGCAAATGGAATGGGGGTCCTAATTTTTGCATTAACTGTCCAAACAGTGAAGAAACTCTTATTCATGTCCTTAGAGATTGTTCTCAAGCCAAAAGATTGTGGATAGATTGGTTTGGTAGAAGGGTCCCCAACGATTTCTTCACATTAGACCTACAGCCTTGGCTCATCAAAAATGTGAGTAAGGGTTGGAATTATCCAATTCATGTTGATTGGAGAGATATTTTCTATACTACTTGCTGGAATCTTTGGAATTGGCGTAATCATCATATTCATGATGATAGTTTCCGAAGGCCAAGCAATGATAAGCGTGTCATTTCTGATTTTATTGCGCATTTAATTGAAGCTAGAGGTAAGAATAGAAGCATTCTTGGCAGCTTCCCTAATGCCCATCAGCCTACTAAATGGTGTCGTCCTGAACCTGGTCGGTTGAAGATTAACACAGATGGTGCTTCTTCCTTATCTAGGCAGCATGCTAGCTGTGGAGGCCTTGCTAGAGATCACAATGGTGCTTTTCTGGGTGGTTTCTCTTTCAGATTAGGTTTCTGTAATCCTCTTGATGCAGAACTCTGGGGTATCCTCAAAGGCTTAGAGCTGGCCTGGGGTACTGGTGCTAGGAGAGTGGAGTTGGAATGTGACTCAGAAATTGCTCTTAGCACTATCCAAGAAGGGAGCAATAATCACAGAAACTCTCAGGTTGTTTCCCGTATTCACAAATGGCTTGCTGAAGATTGGGATGTTCGTTGGGTCCACACTTTTCGAGAAAATAACAGATGTGCTCACTGGTTTGCTTCTAGGCATTTTGAGGATGATAATAATCTTATTGTTTATCATTCTCCTCCTTCTCCTTTGTTAGAGCTCCTTCTTCAGGATGCTTCTGTAGATCTTTTAAGTTCTCGCGTCGTGTAATTTTTGTTTTGTTTGGGGCTTTTGCCCCTCTTTATTACAAAAAAATAAAATAAAATAATATAATAATACTATAATTTTATTATATTTAATTCCATTTTTTTCATAATATTTTACTTGTAACAAACTTTAATACTCACCCTTAATTCCATTTTTTTCATTATATTTTACTTATAACAAACTTAAACACACACCCAAATTTGGGTTGTCGGCAGTTTTTGACCATCAAAATTCTATCATTTTATTGTAAAATATAATTAATTAGAACTCCCTGATTTATAAAATGTACCTAGTGCAGCTAAAACCCATGTGCGCACTTAATTGAGCAATTTCCATCCATGTCTCCTTTACTTTGCTCACGGTTTATTTTATTCTTTTGAAGAGTAGAAAATGATGGGAAATTTAGAGCAAGAGAGAAGGAGAAAGAGAAAACTCTCTACCAGAGAAAGTGATAGAGAGGGCCAGAGGAAAAGAGGGTCTGCTTTTTGGGCACTTTATCAAGTTGCAGGTTTTGGAGCATCGTGACGCGAAGGTTCCGATTATAGAGTTTTTTAAAATAAAAAAAAAAAAAAATTGGGTTAATTATTTTATATTCATAGGATTATAATATAAAATATAAGTTTCCTAAGAATATCAAAGAGGGTTGGTTTTGTTGTGTGACTCTGTATATTTAAATATAAAAATATTTATAAACATATCCACTGCTGCTTTGTAACACACTCGCAAAGCCTATCATCTTGACAGAACCAAGAAAATTTTGGTGTGGCAGGTCACGCATCCTCAGGAGCTGCCATGGGTAGGTGATATTTCTCCTGGTCTTAGCTTTCTTGTGTTCTGTTCTTAAAATTACGTTTTGTTTTTAATTTTTCTTTCTGGTTTTTGTTAATGTCTGTTTACTCAGAAATTAGGATACATGGATGTTTTATCTTTCTTTTTTTTTCCCTTTTCTTTTATTATTTGCTCTCCTTTATGTTCTTCCTCTGTTTTTGTCATATCCTCAATTGCGTGGCAAAGATATCCTGGGTTTTCTTTTTGGGGCATGATTTGGGGTGAAATTCTTTGGTTTTAACAGCGAATTTTGTTCAAGTCCTGTGATTTTTCCTTTTCTCTGTGTTTTTTTTTTTTTTTGTGCTTCTGCGTTAATGTATAAGTAGTGGTTGGTGGCTTCTTCTCTCAGTTTCTCGTCTTCTTTAACTCTCTCTTTGTCTTTCTCTTTGTGCTGATGGGTAAGTAGCTCCTTGGCCTCTTTGGTTGAATGGGCTCTGTTATATGATTCCTTCTTTACTTGGTTATTCTTGTGTTTCTGATTTCTCTCCATCCTTTCCCTGATCCTTATACTCTCTCTCTGTGCTGTAGTATTTGCACTTATGAGTTCCACTGGGTTTATCTTCTCATTGGCTAAGGGGATTCTTTTCCACTTCCATCAGTTCCACTCTCATTGGCTTTATTTGCACTTATGAGTTCCTATAGCTTTTATTTCAGGGTTCAACACGAGCTTCTCTCACTACATGGACGATGAATATGAGAAACTCTTCAGAAGAATGAACCCACCCAGGTACCTATTTTTCCCATCCTGTTTGATGAAAGAAAGCTTTTTTAACTTGAATGATTCCGTCCTCACATCTTGTATTGTTTTGTCAGAGTTGTAATTGATAATGAATCCTGCAAGAATGCGACTGTTATAAGGGTATGGCTAAGTTCTTTGTCTTCCCCTGCTTTTTGAGTTCTGCGATTCGTATTTCTTTCTATGATTCACAATTTTCCCTATCGTAATGACACTTTCATTTTTATTTTGCAGGTTGATAGTGCAAACAAGCATGGAATACTTCTTGAAGTTGTACAAATTCTCACTGATCTAAACCTTATAGTAACTAAGGCTTACATATCTTCTGATGGAGGATGGTTCATGGATGGTAATGATTTTTTCTTAGCATTATGATATGTGTATAATCTTAAGTTTTGAGAAAAGAAAAGGTTGATGTTTTTATTATGTTCTGCCAGTTTTTAATGTCATTACCCAGGATAGAAAGAAGGTTACAGATGAAGCTATTTTGGAGTACATTCGAAAGGTAAGTCTAGTTTGTTGTTCTTTACATCACTGCTTTTTGGTATGTATATTGACTTGTAGGGTTGCTGTCACTTATTGTTATCAGTCTCTTGGCCCGGAATCTTGCATTACGAGATCTGTTGGGGTCAAACAAACGATGGACCGCACTGCAATAGAGCTAATGGGAAGTGATAGGCCAGGACTGCTTTCAGAAGTGAGTGCTGTTCTAACCAATCTCAAGTGCAACATAGTGAATGCAGAGGTGTGGACTCATAATACCCGTGCAGCAGCTGTGATGCATGTAACTAATGAAGAAACAGGTTCTGCTATCACTGACCCGCAGAGGCTTTCTCTAATTAAGGAGCTTTTATGCAATGTGCTTGGTGGTGGCAACAAAATCAGGGGGGCTAGAAGTGTAGTCTCTGAAGAAGTGACACATACCGAGAGAAGGCTTCACCAGATGATGTTTGCTGATAGGGATTATGAACGAGTTGATGATGATGACTTTGTTGAGAAGAGAAGACCGGATGTGAATGTTGTGAATTGGTCTGACAAAGATTACTCAGTAGTTACTATCCAATGTAAGGATAGGGCGAAGCTTCTCTTCGACATAGTTTTTACTTTGACAGACATGCAGTATGTGGTTTTCCATGCAAGTATTGATGCTGAGGGGCCAGAAGCATATCAGGTATCCCATTTATCTCATTGGTGTGTACATATATACATGGACACAGACTTTGTATATTATTCCTTTTGCTGTTATGTGTGAGTCACATTTATGATCTTTTAAGGACATGAGGTAAATATTTTGTGGATGTGTGTATATAGGAATATTACATAAAGCACATAGATGGGTCCCCTGTAAAATCAGATGCAGAAAGACAAAGAGTGATACAGTGTCTTGAAGCTGCTATTGAGAGAAGAGTATCTGAGGTAAGGACTTGAAATTACTGAATTTATGATTTCCTGCTTTTATAGGAACTCGCCTATGGAATTATTTTTTCAATTGTTGTGTTTGTACTTTTATTATTAAGCATTATTTTTCTATTCGCTGTGGTTTATTTTTATTCTTCATTAAAATTTTGTTGAGGTTGACCTCGATCCTTTTTGTTTATATTTTCTCACATAAGTAAACTTTCTATCTGTGATAGTGATCCACAAGTTGAATTGTAGTTGGTGGACTTAGTGGCAACTTCCATGCATGCCCGCCCTCATATTATTAAGTTAGATGATTTTCTGTTTGAAGGATACAATAGACTAATTATATATATGTACCTGTGCGCGTGTTAATTGCTAAACAGTTGACCTACATTGAAAAAAGACCCATTATTTTGATGGCTTCACGATACATATTGTAAAGAGTTTTTTAATAACGCTTTCTTATTCTATTTGAGGGCGAGCCTAGTCACAGGTTCAAATCTGGAAAATAGTTTCTTTGCAAAAATGTAAGAATAAGATTACATACAAACAACTCTCACCTTTACCCTCAAGTCAAGAAGCTTTGTGTATTAGGGTTTGTCCTTTCTTCTATTTAATTATGTCTTATTATGGTGAGTATTGTCCTTCGCTGTATGATTTTGCAAATTTTGTATTCTAGTCTGAAAGTCCACTAACCTTTAGTATTTTTTTTTTATTTTTTTTTTCATTTTTTATACAAATGCCAGTCATGCATTTTTGGCTTGTTTATCCTTTCGCCGTCCATTTGGTTAATTTCCTTTAATAAACAAGATTACAAGACTACTAATTTGTTTCTTCCTCATTCAGGGTTTGAAACTAGAACTCTGCACGACCGACAGAGTTGGACTTTTGTCTGATGTGACACGTATAATCCGTGAGAACAGCCTCACAGTTACAAGGGCAGAAGTGACAACCAAAGGGGGCAAAGCTGTGAACACCTTCTATGTAGGAGGGGCTTCAGGTTTCCCTATTGATTCCAAGATCATAGAATCCATTCGCCAGGCAATTGGCAACACTATACTTAAAGTTAAGGGAAGGCCTGAAGAGTTGAAACCTGCTCATCAGGATTCTCCAACAAGATTCCTCTTTAGTGGTCTTTTCAAATCCAGATCCTTTGTCAACTTCGGATTGGTCAAGTCTTATTCTTGAGAATGTGAATTATAATGTGCTTTACTTTCTTCTTGTACAGGAAAAGTGATGAAGATGCAAACCTCTATACTGTCACATATTCACCTTAGAGGAAGCGTGTCTTTAGCATAGGAAGTAGGAACACTACAATAGCTTGAAAACATTGAATCCTTAGATAAATTGCCATTATGTATCCAATCATGAGTTGGAACGATGAAATCAAAAGGAACCTTAATTGGGCAACGCCCTTGAATTGTCAATATTTGCATATAAAATTTCTCAACTTTGATTTAATTTTCTCGTGTTTCTTTCTTGTATTCAACGACCATTTTTTTTTCTTTTCTTTGGGTAATATAATATTATTATTATGTCAAAAAGGTTTTTTTTTTATAGAGAATCTCATCCTGCGGTGTCGTTACATTTATTTTTTTCAAAAAAAAAAAATTTAGCATAAACTTTTCCTTTTTTTTTTTTTATTTACCAGTGATTGTTTAGAATAATCTTAATCATAAACTTAATTATTAATCATGAGTTATTAATCATGAGGTTGTTTACTAAACTAAAATCCAACTAGGGTTTTTCTTTATTTTATTTAAATTTTTTTTTTTACTAGTTTAGAGTTGAATTTGTCAAGCAAAAATATATGCGATTCAGGCAATGGTGTAACACCACGTGGATTAACGCCTTAACTTCCTGGAATCATGAGTCCGGCATATAGAAGTCTCACATAATTTACAATCCATACATTACATAATAATATAACACATTACATCACATATCACATCACATATCACATCACAACATATCGTATCCAAATACATTATATCATAACATATGCATGAGCTACATGAATGCAACTATACTACTATCTAACCCATATTCACACAATCACAAACCAAAGTCCTACTGGACAATGATGGAACAACATAGGTAAGAAAAATCCTAAACCAAGAGCTTACCTCTCGAAGCATTTATATCACGCTTACTTGACAGACAAGAAAGCTATTCCAAATCCTCTGAACTTTGATCTTGGTCCATAATATCACCTAATTCACATCATAATACTTTACTTGTTAACTTAACATACTTAACAATTTCATTATTGACAATTCATGCCCATACCACAAGTACGACCTAATAACCCTTAACTTGACATTTGTTCATGATCTGACCAATGCAATATGGGCTGGCCAAAGTGTATCGGGCTAAATCACACACGGTTGAAGTGAGAAGGCTTTTGGGTTATCTTTTTCCTGGGCTGGAGGTTGTTGATGATGATGTGAGGACTTTGATTCTCCTTCAGCGCGATGATCCTGACTGGGGGAGGTACCTGCAATGACACTCTGACGCTCAAGTCATTATCAATGTCAGATTTATGTGTATTCTTACAGAATTAGATTGTTATACCTGGGCATGTACCATTTGTTTATATAGTGGTTTTGATGCCGCCTTAGGAAGGCGATATGACCTCTGATTGGCTGTTTATGGGCTACAGGTTCAGCTGGGGCTTCCATAGCCTTATCTCATTATGTCAGGCTATCTTGGTAGAGTGGTGGCAAGCTGGTATTGTCTTCTGTTTATTTGTTCAATGGCGCGGTGGATCTTTATAGTTCTTGTGATTGCTTCCTTATCTTTGAAGTTATGCTGAAGGGCGGTTTGGGCACGATGGTAACATCGCACCCTCTAATGCGCAATTGATGACATCGTGCCTCATTCTGGGCCTGATGGGTTTGGGCCTTGTTCTATGAATTTTGGCCTTTGATGGGCCTATCATATTTTATCCAAATCAGTTGCGCCCTAGCTCGTAGCTTTGGTATTTACAAAGCTGGGAGATATATATATTTTCCAGGGCGGTAAGTCTTTGGCGCGCTCACTTGATGTCGCCCATGTTATGCCGAAGAATCATCTTTACTTACCGCTTAGAAAGGTTGATTAGATATTTAACTGTCAGAGGCATTAAATGCCACCATAATTACATGGGTGTATTAGTGACTAACGTGGGACATTTTAGAATCTAATCCATTTACCTTCTGCCCACGTGCCCTCCTTCTAATCCGCTTAACTCAACACATTTTAACCCTTTGGCTTTCCTTGTGGTGACTTTTCATATTTGTACTGAGCTTTTGAATTTGGAGGGAAGTTCATTCCTAAGTATCAACCTCTTCCAAAAAGGTTTTCTTCTCTAGTGTTCTTTTGCCAGTGATCGTTTTCGATGTGTTGACACGTCTTGCTTCCACTCTCATTTCGTTGAAGTATAAAACTCAAGTATGTTTCTACCTTTTTTAATTCCTCGTGTTCTTGTTTTATGGTTGTGTTTTTCTTGTATTTGAGCTTGCACATGTCTGATAATTGCAAACTTTTGAATTTTATCAGAACGACCGAACGGTCTGGTTCTACCAGTCCTCTACCCAGGTCTTTACCTAGGTCAAGATAATTAGGAACTAGGGAATCGTGACTAACTGGTAAATGTGCTGCCCCCTGGAAGAAAGTGAAATTGAGTGATAAATGTTCTTCTTCTTTTCGATGTTTCGAAATTGGTTCCACGTCCCGAAAACCTAATCGTGGGATAACCAGATCCTTGTCGCAATAGAGTTCGTCTCTTTTTCAAAAAAATCTTCCTATTATGGTGAATCCTATTTTAATATCAAGTGATTCCACTTCGAATTCTGGTTTTGGTTATAAGTTCGTTAATGCCCTAGACTCTGAATCTTCCCCTTCAATTTCATCGCGCAATACTTCGTCGTCTATCGCGCGAGATCAGTCAAACCAAAGGAGTCCAAGTCCTTTGCCTTTAAATGTTATTTACCCAGCTGGGTACCCGTATAAGAAACGAAATTTTGACAACTTTAAATCTGCATTTGCTAGTTCCTCGTCGACTTCTTCTAGCTCTACTAATTCCTCCTCCTCTGAACTAGATTTGATCTCGCCTCAAATTAAAGAAATCATGGTTAGGCGCGGTGCAACTGATAAAAAGAAGCAAAAGCATGATCCTAAGGCAACTGGATCAGGTAAAAGTGGTATTCGAGATGAAGAGGCTTTAGATTGAGTGTCCAACATTGTTTTAGGCACTGTCTGTATATATAGTTCACCAGAAGAGTTGGAAGAATTGAAGGTTGCCATCTATCTTACCCCAAACAGATCACAAGATGAAAAGTGGGAGTTAGATGTCGTTCCCTTAAACGAACGAGTATGCTCAGCGAGCGCTGATAATTCTTCCAGACACTTCATGATGATGTATGCCTACTTCTTCCTGACGATAGGCGTGCGTCTGCCTTTTTTATCTTTTGTCTGTAAATTACTGACTCATATCAATATGGCTCTTACACAATTATCTCCAAATGCTTGGGGTTTTATTAGGGTATATGAGATGGTTTGTAAAACATATAACCTATTTCAATCCCCGGAGTCCTTCTTGTGTCTGTTTAGTGTTTTGGGACCACGTTCCAACTGGGTTTCTTTTAGGAGAAATTCCAAGCATAAATTCTGCGATTCCTATCTAAGGAAGATTAACAAATGGACCACAAATTTCTTCAAGATTTACCCAGCGAAAGGTTCCTAAGCTTTTTTTCTTAAAAGAAGAAAACAATACTCCTATCTTCCCTCTATATTGGACACAACACCCTTCAGAGGATCATAAGTTGAACTATAATTTTGATGATTTGAATGATTGCGAACAGCATACAGTTACCCCGTTATGTAATATAGCACGAGAAGTTTCTGATTCCGGTTACTTGAGTACTAATAAACCTTTGGTTTACCATGTTTTTAGGCTAGATTATATAAGAGTTATGTAGTAGAATGCATGGAATTCAAGGTTTTACAACATATAAGTCATAAGATAGGAAATTGAGCTGACGTTTTGATGTTATTTGCAATTTGAAGGTAAAACCACAAAGATTTGGTGCTAAAATTGCTAAAGAAATCATGACGAAGAAGTAGCGGCTCAATATGGAACCAAAGGAAGCCAAAATATTACAATTCAAGTGCCAGAAGAGCACGCTCAAGCGCACAGATGCACGCTCAAGCGCCCAAGAAGACAAGAATTTATCCTCGAGGAGCACGCTCGAGCGCTCGAGCGCGTGAGGGCAGGCAGAATAGCAAATTGCAGGCACTTAAGCACGCTCAAGCGGCCAACAGAGCGCTTGATCGCCCAAGCACATTCTAGACAACAAAGATTTACCAAGATTTGCTGAGATTTTCCAATGAAGATCAGATTTTGATATCCGGAATTAAAATGGAAACATATCGACTCCGATTTAAAGAGATTCATGGAAGATTGAAGCAAGATTATAACAACATTCAAAGTCTTAAATCTGTCACCAATCTACAAGATCTTAAACGCAAAAGGAAATAATTATAAAATCAATTACAAATCTGATATGGATACGGTGAGAGACGCAATGAAGGATGTGGCTTTGAAGATTATAAATAGGGAGCTGAGGGTCAGACCAATTCACCAATTCACAAGTCCAGAGAATCAGATAGAGACCTGAAGGAGGAATCCTTTTGCGAAGCGCTGGAACACTGAGGAACCAAGTCAACATCACACCAATGGAGGCTTGGGAACTATTTTCTTTCTTATTGCTTTTGAATTCAGTATGCTAGGCTAAGTTTTTCTGTAGTTAGGGGTAGATGGAACCCAATTGAATCCTTATGTTTATGAATTAAATTGTTCTTGAATTCTTTTCTTTTTATAATTGAATAAATTTATCCGTCTTTAATGATTTCTATGAGTTTCCTCCTTATAGATTGATTTTGGGGAATTGTATGACAATAGGGATGTTGGTGCATGAACCCTGACTTGATAAATTTATCATAATCCTTGTGATCTAGGGATAGACATAGGGCAATTGTGCAATCTTTAAATTCTTGATCTTAATGCATGTTTTCTTGGGGAATAATCGGGGAACTAGAGTTCTTTCAAGATCACATAGATTTAGGGTAACAAGGAATTGAGCCCTAATTAACTTAGATATAATTGATTGACATTATATTAAGAAAATGTTCTTGACTGTTTAATTCACAACATAACGAAGATATTGGGGGAAGTCGAAACCCTAACTACGCTTGTTTTACATTCTTAATCAATCATCTTTCAATTGTCTTTTTAATTCTGAAATTTCTTTAATTACATCTCATTACTTGTCTTTAATTTTTAAGTTCCTTAATTACAATTCTCTCAAATCCAACTTTTGATTGTCCAACTAAAATGCGATTAGCGAACTAGTGCTTGAAATTCTGATCCTCGTGGGAACGATCTCGTAC